GGAGAACAACCTAAATGTTTAACAATCACTCTGGTTACGGATCATAACTCATTGGTGTGTGTAACGGAGCTCCCTGTACTCCGACCGAGTACCCTCCGTTGACGGATGCTCCTAGCGCTTCCTGAGGACTCCCAAGCACTGCAGCAGACACCACAACCACCGCAGACTCCGCAACCGCCGTATCTGGACTGGAGTCTCGCCGTCTTCCTTCCACCCTGGATCAGCTTCTGTCCTCCAGGACTGTGTGGGAAAGAACTCTTCCTTCCACCCGGTATGAACCTCCAGCATCCAGGACTGTGTGGTGAAGACCCCTCCTCCAAGGAGAGCGTGTCAGGAACAAGCTCTTAAAAGAGCTAAGTGACTCAAGCTCAGGGGAGCAGGGACACTGCCAGACTAGTTTAAACTGGCTGCCTTTTCCCTCCTCAATCTCCCAGCAGCCCTTGCTATTGTTTAACCCCATGGCGATCCAACTGTATTCGTGAGATCTGAGCACTTTTAGGACATATTGAATGCTCAGATCCAGGCTATCTGGGTATATGTTGGACATATAGGTTAAACATTGTATTATAAGAGTTATGTATTTTTATGTGGTTTTTGTAACAGTTTTTGACGTAGAGATATTTCCTGTACCTAGAGATAATTAAGTTACCAGAGCCACTTAAGCCAATTATCTCCAGGATAGAGGAGAAGATAGACTGGCTGCACAGGCTTAATCTGTGGAACTATTTTGGACATGAAAGCCATGCTTGCGGTCAGTCAAAAGAAACTTCCATAAAACTTTTGAACCCCTGCTCTAATCTGGGTGATTTGTGGGACTATGTGGTGTTTTGGGGTGTTTTATGTGTTTTGTGAAAATGTGTGATTTCTGCCTGTGGGTAATTGAGTTAGTCCATTGTGTTTGATAATTGTATCACAGGTAGAGGGGAGGGCTTGTGTACATTATCTTGGACTGTCTATCTGTACAAACCTGTTTTAATTGGCTTTGTATCTTTGTGTCCTGTGCTTCACAAGGTCCACGTGGGTGGTAACCTTGTGGGAAAAGCTGTATAAAAGAGACAATAAACCCTCAGACTGCTGAGTTCCTGTTTTACCCTCAACACAGAGCCTCGTCTCATGTGTGGGGGAAAAGGCTGCATCTATACTGGGGATTTCTATACGCTGTATACTCCCCTGACTATAATCACTAAGCTCTTTTAAGAGCTTGTTCCTGCTTCGCTCTCCTAAGGAAGAGAAGTTCACCCACGGGATCCTGGAGCCTTGTCACAGCTGGGGCACATCAGGAGCAACTGCCCTATGGAACCCCCCAGGCCCACCTGGGGACGACCCTCCAACCAATCCCAACCTACACCAGCTGCTCACTGTTTGGAAACTGCAGCCGAAACGGATCTGTGAGACTCTGGGGCCGCTCAGGGTCTGCGAGATTCTGGGGCCACAATAACTCTTATCCAAAAACCACTTGGTTCGCAACAACGACCGCACCGGAAAGACTGTTGCTGTCCGAGTCGGAGGAGCTGTTTACCGTCTCCCCAGTGCCCAGGTACATCTCAACTGGGGAGCTGGATCCGGTACTGTGGGAATAATGGAAAACTTCCCAGCCGAGGTCCTGCTGGGCAACAACCTTGGGCCTCTCACCTCAGCCTATGCTCCTACTGTAGCCGCTCATCCAGTCACCACCCGTGCCCAAGCCCACAAAGCAGAGAACAACCCACCGGTCGTGGAGACCCCTTGACTAAGACACTAGCTACTACGACCTTAGCCTGGGATACCCCAGAAGAGTTTGGTAGGGAGACTAGGGCTGACCCCTCCCTCCAAAAGTATCACCTTAGGGCAGAGACAAGTCAGCCAGGTTCAGAGGGAGAAAAATATGTATGGGAGAAAGACAAGCTTTACCGGGTATCAGACAACCGTCATCCTGGGGCCACCCCTTCGCAGAGGTACCAGTTGGTAGTTCCCAGGAAGTACTGACGGGAACTTCTCCGAATAGAGCACTACATCTCCTTAGCCGGACATTTGGGGATAACTCGCACATCTCACCGAGTAACCCAGCACTTCTTTTGGCCGGGGGTCTCCACAGATGTGCGACATTATTGCCGGACCTGCGATGTTTGCCAGAGGGTGGGTTAAAGGGGGGGGGGGGGAATCACCCTAAGGCGAAGCTGCTATCCATGCCCATAATAGAAGAGCCCTTCAGCCGGACAGCAGTTGACCTGATAGGGCCCCTCAAATGGCCTAGTCACTCCGGTAAGAGATTTATCCTTACCGTGGTGGACTATGCCACCCGCTATCCCGCTGAACTGACTCAACAATTGTGGAAAGTCTGCCAAATCAAGTCTCTACTTAGCTCCCCATACCACCCCCAGACCAACGGCCTCTGTGAGCGTTTCAACGGTACGCTCAAGCAAATGTTGAAAATGTTCACAGACGAATACCGTGTACAGAGAGGTGCCGCAGGAATCCACGGGGTTCTCTCCTTTTGAGCTACCATATGGGCGAAGGGTGCGAGGGCCCCTGGACCTCATTAGGGAGCACTGGGAGGGAACCTCCAAAGAGGGAGCCCCCATCGTATCATATGTGGTGCAGCTCCGGGACCGCATGGAACAGGTAGCATGGATGGTTAAAAAAAGGCCCACGAGCGGCAGAAGGTATGGTACGATCGGGGTGCTCACCAGCAGATGTTTCAGATGGGACAGAAGGTCCTAGTACTGAAAGCGATGTTACAAGCAGCCTGGCAGGGCCCTTACACAGTGGTAGACCAACTCTGCGATACCACCTATGTAATCGCCAGCGACAAGGATGAGAGAATACACAAAGCATTCCACATTAACATGCTCAAAGCCTATCAAGTAAGGCCCGAGGACATAACTGCTGTCTGCGCCCCAACCACGGACGACCCAGACAGCTTACTGCTACCTGACAGTGAGTCCTGGGAGGGAACACTTAGCTCAAGTAGGGACAGTCCTGGACCAGGTTCGGGATGCCGGCCTGACTCTGAAATCAGAGAAATGCCATTTTGGGATGGCAGAGGATCAGTATCTGGGTCACCGGGTGGGGTGTGGAAAGCAGTGTCCAGAGCCAGCCAAGATAGAGGCAGTTGCGAACTGGTCCACACCCCGCACTAAGACCCAGGTCCTTGCCTTCCTGGGCACTGCTGGGTATTATAGGCAATTTGTACAGGACTACAGTATGATTGCTAAACCCCTGACGGACCTGACTCAGAAAAACCTTCCCAGACAGGTTCTGTGGTCTCCCCACTGTGAAGCAGCATTCCAAACTCTTAAGAATGTTAGGGGCTGGGGCAGCCAAGACAGGAGCATTAGTTAGTGCAAACGCTTTATCGTTCACACAGATGCTTCCATGTTTGGGAGCAGTTCTCAGCCAAGTAGGAGAAGCTGGAGGGGAACATCCTATTG